TTTGGTTGCCTGTTCATAAACTTTGAAAATTCCATATCACAGTTCACTAAAACCTTATACAGGGTGAAATTTTTGATATGAACCAAATTGGCAGAATTTCTCAAGGCCGGTCCTGGATTTTTACGATTCTGAATTCGTCAGTTGATTGCTGAGCGACAGCATTATTATCCATGGAAAAATAGAAGGAATCGAAAGAACTGTTGGAAAGTTATGATTGAAAGAAGTTTTGGCCATATCCAATAAATCACCCTATAGATTATTTTAGAAGAGGCGGAGACACTTTCTGATGGTCATTTGGTGATTTCCTCAGGTGCCTCTATTCTTAGTAGGAGCATGTACAGTTCCTCATGACTCGCCCTGTATAAGGTTTTTGAGACAGCACTATATCATAGCTTCCAGAGCTCGGTATGTAGCAAAAAATCAGACATTCGAGTGATCTGTGATAGAAAAATGAAAATGATTGCTCTGATCAGAGTTTAGAGACATGGATGCCATCAAATTGTTAGTCTTTTTTCCTGAATAGATCCACGTTAGCGTTGTGTGTGTTTATGAATTGCTGATCAATTTTTTCACGAACGCAGAACATCTAACTAATCTTCTTCTGATATATAAAATTCTCGTGTCAACAGTGTTCGTTACCAATATCCTCCGAAACGACTTTGAACGCTTCTTATGAAAATGTGTTTGCATATGTCGTAGGTCTGAGGATCGGTCGTAAACTCTTGGTGAATTCAAGATGGCAGATTCAATATGTCAGACGAGTTTTGTAATTATGATTGGATTCTATTCAGAATTGGTATCTGACGGTTTTTGGGATCAAAATTAGGAAAATCAAGATGGCGGATCCAATATGGCAGACGATTCTATTCAAAATTGCTATGTGGGGGTTTTAAGAGGTCGGAGATTCTTTCGTCAAAATTAGGAAATTCAAGATGGCGGATCTGATATGGTGGATGAGTTTTGTAATTATGATCTGATTCTATTCGAAATTTGTATCTGGAAGTTTTTTGAGTCAGAGATTATCATTCTTTTCTCAAAATTAGGAAATTCAAGATGGGTGATCCAATATGGCGAACGAGTTTTCTAAATACCCAATTCGGGAAGAAATCATTGTATTTTTGTAGAATAAATATTTATAATAGTCTACCCAACAGAATAAAATCTATTAGATTCGTCACAAAATTTGAGTGTGAACTGAAGAAATATATCTCATCAATTTAACTCTCTTCTTGTATCATTTAATTTTGATTGAACTGTTTATCTTTCATTGTATTGCATATAAATTTCATTTTTTTTTGTTTCCCTTTATAAACATTGTATGTTTCTTGGGATCAATAAATGTTATTAAATAATTGAATCGGTCATTTCGGAAACAACTCAAGTCACAAAACTTTTTTTTCAGGAGACATGAAAAACATTTCATTCAACTATAGGTGGTTTTTTTGAGGCAATGCTATTCTACATACGTATCGTAGGTTATGAATATGTACTTTTGGAAGATAAAAAGATATGAATGATTATTTTTGGATGTTTTCAAGCTCATCAAGATCAGAGTTCATGCCAGTACACTTCTCCTATACATTACAATTTTCATTTCAATGCTGAATATATTGGTAAGTCATATTTCTATATCATTATTCATCATATTATTCATCCGATTTGAAGAAGAATGTCAATTCTCAATTTCGGAGGATTTTATTCTTTATTTTTCATGTTCTCCTTTTGAATGTTCATCAGATATAATTCAATGTTCGACGTGGCAAATAGCCAGAAAAGTAGTTGTTTTCTGTTGAATATTCAGAATGATGTGTGCATATACATATTTTTGTCTGAAGGAGAATGCGAATTCTCAATTTCAGAAGTTTTTATATTTCATCTTCAAACTCTTATCGTGTGTGTTCATATAATTCAATGTTCGTCGTGGCATATAGCCAGGAAAGTAGTTGTTTTTTATTGAATCAACTGAAAAAGAGTAAATATTCTCATCACATAGAGAATGCGAATTCTCAATGTATGCTTTATATAAATATATATCCATTTTTGTATGTTCATAATTTATCTGAGAATATTCCTTTTCATAAAAGGAGGACATAGATGATTTAGTTTTTTGTTATAAATTCTTCAAACTGTGGGACTTATGTTGATTTCGAAATGAAGAAAGATTTTCAATGTTTTACATGAACCTTTTTATTTCAAACATTCGGAAAGTACAACAAAATAACAAAAATTCAATAAACTTGAATAGAATATATAATATAAACTTGAAAAACTCTGAATATTATCATTTTGACTAACATTTGGTATGCTTATCAAGAATCTATTGCATGAAGAAGAAAGACCTATGTTGTTTTCGCAATGATTCAAGAATAATTCGACCTGTACTGTACTGTACTTATGCTATGACAGTAACTTGTGTTGTTTTCGAAATGATCGATTCCATTCAAAATTGGTATATAAGGTTTTTCGGGTTCAGAGTTTATGTCAAAATTGGAAAATTCAAGATGGCGGAATCAATATGGAGAAGGAGCTTTGTAATCAATAGTTGTTTGAAAAACTAATGATACACTGAGTCAAGCAAGCTTTCATGGTTCAAGCTAAAAAGAAGTGAAACATGAATAGTATTTCAAATAACTGGAGTGATAGATTGCCGAAATAAAAAGAAGTTAAAAATATATCGTATAGTTTGTGAAACAAGAGGAACATATTTTCATAAATAGGAAAATAAAAAATTAGTAGAAAATAATATTGAAAAAATGTTTAGTGATTGATAAATGACAAAAAAATATTTACTAGAAATTGAATGATGCAATGAAACACCGCTTGGCTCGGTGGCACAAAATATTTGTTCGCCGTTCGCCCCCTACAAATTACATGTATAAAAACATGGAATATATTATTCTTCTCGAATTGTCTTCTCATTCCAAATGAGTAGCAGGATGTTTTTATTAATTTATCTTGAATATACCATTTTCATCAAATACGATGAGAAGAATATTTTCCATGTTTTATATTGAGAACAAGAACAGATTAGTATACGAAACGTCCAAAGCTAAGTGATAATTTGATATTTTTTTGATATATTCATATTTCTCTTCTCCGAACATTTTTCAAAACAAGGTGTCACTCACAATCGATTGAGTTTTATCTTTTAGTCACTATGAAGTGACAATTGTCACTATGAACTGGCAATTGCCACTTTCAACTGGCAATTGCCACTTTGAACTGACAATTGCCACTTTGAACTGGCAATTGTAATTCAGAGATCTGAATATCTCGAAAACTGAAATAAAATCTTGAAACTTCAACGCTCTGTAGATCGGTAATGAAGCTTTTGCGGACACATGTTCATTGAAAAAAGTCTTATTCTGATCTGAAAAATTAGCCTCCGAAATCTTGATACTGAATTTTTAAACACCCATGTATACAGGGTGTTCCTAAAAGGTCTTTACACAAACTTACCACATGTTCCTCAGACCAAAACATTTCGATACAAGCGGAATTACCTCAGTACAAAATTGCTTAGTTTGGGCGCTAGACGGCTCTGAAGTTACAATTTTCAAATCGTTTTTGCTTCATACCTTTGGAACGGTTCATGAAATTTCACTCAAATTTGATACGTTGGCATAGCTTCATCGGGCAATAAAATCCATATCATGATTATGATGAATATCATTCCATGGGCGTAGAACTTGATTTTTTCCGTAAAAAAACATCTAAAACTTCTACGCCAATGGAAAGAAAGGGGTTTGTGTACAAAAATTTGGATTGCGTAACATGTTCACTACAAAAAAGATACTCTTGATAAAATTCGATTACTGTCATAGTTTCGACAAAATTTAAATTTTAGTAATTCAAAACATCAGTCAACACCTAAACGATTAACAATATTTCATAAAAAGTGTTCGAAATGTTAATAATTTTCTCGAAAAAAATGGATACAAGCACACTCTCCTCAGTACAAAGTTTCTCAGTCTGGGCGCTAGACGGCTCTGGCTTACTGAGTACAAAAAAAAAACAACAAAAAATAGCTGATAGCACATTTCAATCTATTTCGTCGTATACGTACGTATTTCAACCGTATACGTGGAAATGATGACAATTTAGAACAATTTTTATGATATATCTGTTGAAAGTTATGGTGCTTTGAATTACAAAAATTTGAATTTTTTCGAAATCATGAGATTACCCGAATAGAGAGAGAAAAGTAAATTTTTTCTAGTAAAAAGTTACGCAATGCAAATTACATACACAAACTTCTTTCTTTCCATTGGCGTAGGAGTTTTAGATGTTTTTTCACGGAAAAAATCAAGTTCGACGCCTATGGAATGATATTTATCATAATCATGATATGGGTTTTATTGCCCGATGAAGCTATGCCAACGTATCGAATTTGAGTGAAATTTCATGAACCGTTCCAAAGTTATGAAGCAAAAACGATTTGAAAATTGTAACTTCAGAGCCGTCTAGCGCTCAAACTAAGCAACTTTGTACTGAGGTAAGTTCGCTTGTATCGAAATGTTTTGGTCTGAAGAATATGTGGTAAGTTTTTGTAAAGACCTTCTAAGGACACCCTGTATACAGGGGTGTTTAAAAATTCAGTATCAAGATTTCGGAGGCTGATTTTTCAGGTCGAAATAAGACTTTTTTCTATGAACATGTGTCCGCAAAAGCTTCATTACCGATCTACAGAGCGTTGAAGTTTCAAGATTTCATTTCAGATATTCAGATCTCTGAATTACAATTGCCAGTTCAAAGTGGCAATTGTCAGTTCAAAGTGGCAATTGCCAGTTCAAAGTGGCAATTGCCAGTTCAAAGTGACAATTGCCACTTCGAAGTGGCAATTCCATAAAAATAAAGTTGTTGGTCCTTCTACGCCTTCGTAATGAGGAGAGAAAATGAAAACTGATAAAGTGAACTGAATGAATCTTGTAACTACAGTCGTGAAATAACTCGATCAGCACTTCATAACGGACGCCCCGAACTCCACCAACCGTACTCACATCGACATCGGTGATCATCTCCTTGGTGGAAACGGTGGTGTCGATCCTTCTGATCGACGCTTCGTGGATGTTGACGTCGAGCTTCAGGATCTGATACCGTCTCAGCAGGAAGACGATCGGGATGGGCAGGATGCCGGCCAGGATCATCGCGATGGCGATGCACATCACCCAGTTGGGGTACGGGGTCGATACGACATCACCCTGTAGCACATAAAATACGAATAATGATGAAGAAACATTATGTTAATCTTTGGAAGAAGTCCATGATGGTAGTAACACAAAGTGGAGTGGTGTAGTTCGTAGATGGAAAACCAAAGTCATCTCCACAGCATTCATTAGAATGGTCAAAGATCAATCTCGAAGGAACATTTGTTTCGGGCTTATATAAGCCCATCATCAGCCAATAGAAAATATTATAGTTCTAGAAAAATCCGTGTTGACTTAGGATATAGATGCAAGAATTAATTAGTACTTACATGGAAATGGAAAAAGTAGGCATACAAATGGTTTAGTTAATAATAGTGCAAACAAGAAAAAATGCTCCATGATCTGGAAAACCATCGATTTAGAATATTGAGAGAAAAAGTGAAGGAACCTGAAAAACTTACTGTTCAGTTTTTTCTATAAAAAATGGTGATTCTCCAATTTTTTTTTGGAAGAACCGGATTGAATTTCGAAAAAGTAAGACGACAGGAACATAGATAAGATCTTCACAAATATGTACAATTTTTTTCATCTACTCAAAATGAAAAATGGCCCTGAAAAGTTAGGGACTACGAAACCCTTGCATTATTGCTTTATATGATAGTAAGTGCAAATTCCTCTTAATGAGAAAGTTTGCTCTGTTTGTGACATTTGGCCAGAATTACTCTCCACTATTGCTTGAAATCATTAAGATGTCAGATTCTGACATGTGGAAAAAATCAATAACACCGAAGGAGTAGAGGAAGGCTCCAGAAAACGTCGGTACTGTATATCCTCATTGGGTCGACCTGAATATTGAAAAATGTTTTTCGATTCTGGTAGAGAGTTGTTTGATATAATATATCGATCTGAGCGACCCAAAACCCATCAACTACATCACTCGTTCTCCACTGACCTCCTCCTTGCTCCACGCCTGATACTTGGGATGATCGATGACCATCGACACTATCGACGATCCCAGAATCACCACCATAATGGAGGGCGCCAGATAGCGCCACGTGATCTGCCAGTAGATCCCTGGCTTGACGCCAGTCATCTCGTAGATGTCCTTGGTGAACTTCTCGTGGCCGTACACGTATATGACAGCGATCATCTCCAGCAGGGCCACCACCACCAGGCCTATGGTGCCGGCGAATGAGTCGAACATGCTCAACCAGTACTCGCCCGCTCCGGTGGTGAAGATGATGCCCACCAGGAAGCAGATCACGCAAACCACAGCTAGAAAAATTCGTTCGAGTTCAAATTCAAGAATGTCCCAAGTTTTGAGTCATAACCCCCAAGGTAGAACCCAAGTCTAACCCCCGAGTTCTAACCCCTCAAGTCCTAGCCCAAAGTCATAACCTCAAGTCCTTACTCTGAGTCCTAATCTCAAATCCCAATTCCAAGTTCTCTTCCCTATTTCTACTCCCTAGTCGGGTCTCAAGTCTCAGTCTTATTGTTCCCAAACGTAGATATGAACAGAGACAGAAATCGCAAGTTGTAACCGAATCATTATAACAATGATATACTCTGAATATACTAATAAATATCCTGATGGCTATATTTATTCTCCATCATAATCTTAGCCTAGTTCTAGTCTAGTTTCAGCTTATAATCATATCGAATTGATCGATTGGAAATTTTCAAGAGATCTACGATCGCTAAATGAATTCACCACTGGTCCCTGTCCTACCCCTTGTTTTATTCTTCAACACAGTCCTACTTTAAGGAGGGATTCAGAGAGATTCAGAGTTTCAAGTCCTAATCCCAAGTCCTAACCTAAAGTCATCACCCACCAGATCCTTATCTGAAGTCTTTCGTTAGCTGATCACTTTGCTAGGTAATGGTCAGGTTTTGTCCAGAAATGTTTTCATTCATTATCAACACTTCCAACACAATGAGATTTCCATGAAAATAAATGTTGAATACAACTTCACTCTTGATTAGTACATAATTGCAGTAGCACCTATTCATCTCATTCTCACTGTGCTATTTTGGATTATGAATGAATTACTTACCAGATGCAGCTATTTATATCTTGCAATAATGTTCGTATATTTTCATTGGGAACTGAAGAAAATAATAAAAAACACTGCAGCAATTCTCAATTAGGCGTCACCAATCAGACTGCATGACGGGTGACGCGAAAAGCGTAAAAGCTGTATTGGGAACTCAACTTGAGTAGAGTCATATGCTTATCAATGCTTATGCGTTGAGTCCGAGGTTGAGTCACATGGTGTCCCAGAGTTAACGTGGTCGCGGCATATACGTATTAATAAACAATACGGATCATAACGGGTGCCAGGATGAAGCCAAAAATATGAAACAAATGAATATCCATAAGGATTTGATGGCATGATACGCATGCGCCATGCGCTATTATAGTAGTCATCAAAGACATGCGTTTCGGTGGACAATGACGTTTACTAGCCTTTCAATCAAAGCAGTATGTGTCTGATCGATTCAAAACTTTTCCTTATGGATAGTCATTTGTCTTAAAAAATCGGCTTCATGTTTCGCTATGGAAACAGATAGAGATTATCCATATTGATTATTAATACGTATATGGGTCGCGGACTTTAACAGAGCCGGTTCAAGTCCTAATTCTAATCCGTATTGCAATCCTAATCCTACTCTTGGTATTAAACCTCATTTCAGTCTAGCCTAGGCCTATTCCTAGTAGGTAGGTACTGTTGATATCAGTTCCTGGATTTCACCTGTTATGTATTGTTTGCTGACCCTCTTCAGTATTTCAATGTCGAAGACGGTACACAGCATCCCTTCTAGTATCCCGATCTGTGAGCCAATTCCGAGCGATAGCAACATCATGAAGAATATCACGGCCCAAAAGGGGGCCCCTGGTAATTCCACTATGGCTTGCGTGAAAACTATGAAAGCCAGACCTGTACCTTCTGCAGCCTGAAAAGTCATCAGAAAATCATGGTTATTGATTGAGCGGTAAAGTATCTCATTACGATACTAAAACTTTTATTATTATTATCATATTGGTAGTAGGTAAAAGTCACTTACTGCATCCAATTCTCGATCCAGAGAACATTCCCTGATGCTGATCGTTTTGGTTGCATGGATCAATGCATTCTGATACGCATCATCAGAAACTAGCGACGCCTCTCCTTTCCTGAGGTATCCACTGTTCATCAGTTCGTTGATGTTACTGAAAAAGAGAATGGAGTTGATTTCTGTTGATAATTGAACGATATTAATAATAATGGTAATAATAAGGTCATTGAATGTATTACACTAGTAGTAATAACAATAATAATTGTGATGATGATGATAGTGATGATCATAATAATATAATCACACTTGACCAACAATCCCATTAGAACCTGATCAGGTCAAGGTAAGTATCTGTATATTGATAATGGGTGAATACTAATTTCAATTATATAATAGTAATAGGAATTATATAAAATAACAGTAATTATAATAGTAATAAAAGCAGTGCTGGGACCAACGAGGTATGCAATTGCAAAAAAAAAGGAAAAAATGTACTGAATATTTTTCCTGACTGAGAAAAATGAGAAAAGACATAAAATATTCATATAGTATGACCTAGGTATCAAAACTAGTTTGATTCTTCTCCTGAAGATGCTAACATAGTTATCGAAACACGTGTAGTGGTGTGAAAAATCGGTTTGGTTAGTAGTGAAACAGTGTATAGTGTATTAGTGTGCCAGAGGTGTCAGTCTTCGATATATCAATTCATAATGTTTTTTAAATCATTATCTACTATCTCTTTCAGATTGACCCATGTATCACTTGTATATTCAGAATCGCAGTATCATCGGCAAAACTTATCATTTCTTCCGTTGTATTCATAAAGAGGAGGCTATTTATATAAATAGAAAATAGTAATGGACCTAGTAGGGTACCCTGAGGCACGCAACAATTCAGGAGTCTCTCTCTCTCTGCTGAAATTCCCTTTAATCTTAGCTACCTTTGTTCTATTTTTCAAATAATTTCCGATGAGTTCAATCTCATTCCTACATCATCCAACGATATGATCATTCTCATCATATTTGGCATTTTTGCCCACCTTGTAACTATTTGAAGCATTTGAAGCAACGTGTGATGCAATTTTGTGAGCAGCTCTCAAAAAAAATTCTGATATTGAAAAGAATTGGAGGATCCATTTGAAGAAATTGACGTTGACGTCATCACACGATAGTTATTTTCTCAGTTTACTGGATTATTATTTCGAAAAACAGTAAATTAAAATCAGAATTAAACTTGTTCCTGGAATTCACACTTTTTATAGAGTTATGAGTGATAAGTTTATAGACATCCTGAATCACTTGTTCTGTATGCTGTACGAATACTCAAGCAGCAATTTATACTTTATGGATTATATTCTTCTATCTAGGGACATATTGAACCATTGAACTTCTCTCTGAAAACCTCTATCTGATGCGTGTCCTAGATATTTCCTTGCTTGCGAATAAAAAGAGACGGAATACGGAATATAATTAGGTTATCGATCAAACAGTTTTACGAAGCATTTATTCAAACCCCTCAATGCTTTGAATCTTGAATCTATGGAATTTATATCTTTAGATAAATTAATACGTAGACATAAATTTAAGTTATCACTCAGGAATTCTCTACGACTTTTCAAGCAGATAAAAACAGTCCGAGAAATATCCCAATCCCCATCAATCCCAAGTACACAAGAGGACTTGATAAGGTTTTCAAAGACTTAGGTTTTGAAAGCGTTCATCAGTCTGGGTCAAAGTTAGTCAATTTATCAGGTAATCCAAAAGATAAGGTGGACACACTTGAAAAGTCAGGAATATATGAAATAAGTTGTGATGTTTGTGATAAAACATATATAGGCCAAACCAGGCGTCCCATGAAAACAAGGTTCAAAGAACACTCAGCATTTTTGGATGTATGATAAATTGATATTCATCATACAGGACATGGAAAGAAATTCTGAATTGAGAAAACCTAATCACGAATTTGCGATTCAGGCCTATAAAAATAACAAGTTTCCATCGTTCAAGTTTGAAGCCCTTGATTGGGTGAAAGTATTGAAAAGGAATATTCTCAGATATATTTATGAACACAAAAACAATGGATATATATATTGAGAAATACATTGAGAATTCGCATTCTCCATGTGATGAAAATATTAATTCTTTCTCGGTTTATTCAACGGAAACCAACTACTAATTTGGAAACAAAATCTTCTGAAGTAGAGAATTTGCATTCTCCTTCATATAAAGATATGCATACAGGGTGGCCCACGGTCGATGGTACCTTAGACGTATACGGAAAACGGTAAATTGGATTATCCTGAAAATTTGGATACTCTATAATAAGCGTTTGTGATCTAACGATTCAAAATATTTTCAGCGGAGCAGCGTTGCCACTTTTACCAAAAAGTAGCATCATCTTTGTTATTTCAAATTTAACACCCTGTATTTTATTGCGTTTTTAGATTATTCTCAAAGAGCTGATTTCATCAATGTATCACACTTTGGGTCTAGCAGGATTTATTACAGAGATATAGGGTGTTCAAAATCCGAATTTTTCAACTTTTGATTAACTATCTACGGACATTTAATTGAAAAAAATACAGAATGGTCCAAGATTCAGAATTTTGATCACCCTGTATCTGTTTCAATTAAATGTCAGTAGATAGTGAATCAATAGTTAAGATAGGGACATGTAGGCCGTTTTGATCGATAATGAATAGTTTCGACACAAAAAATTCCTGAAATTGAAAAATCTCGATTTTGAACACCCTATATATCTGTAATAATTCCTGCTAGACCCCAAGTGTGATACATTGATGAAATCAGCTTTTCGAGAAGAATCTAGAAACGCGATGAAATACAGGGTGTTCCATTTGAAATAACAAAGATGATGCTACTTTTTGGTAAAAGTGGCAACGCTGCATCGCTGATAATATTTCGAATCGTTAGATCACAAACGCTTATTAGAGTAACCAAATTTTCAGGATAATCCAATGTACCGTTTTCCGTATACGTCTAAGGTACCATCGACCGTGGGCCACCCTGTATAATATCATTCTGAATATTCAACATAAACCAACTACTTTCCTGACACTTTGCCACGTCGAACATTGAATTATATCTGTTGAATATCCAAAAAGAGAGCATGAAAAATCTGAAATTGAGAATTGACATTATCTCTCAAAACAAATAGAATAATATGATGTATTATGATATAAAAATAAAACTTACCAAAATGTTCAGTATTGAAATGAAAATTGAAATTAATAGAAGTATACTTGTATGAACTCTGATCTTGATGAGCTTGGAACTTAAAAAAAAAATCATGTACATCATGAAGAATGGCTGAAAGAACAACTGGACTTCATGTTTCTGATGATGATATGATATCCGAAATGAGTTTTACTTGGGTTGAGTGATTCAACCTGTTTGTGGGAGATATAATTCCCATATCACTTATTCGAATGATTATTTTCCAGTTCCAAGCTCATCAAGATCAGAGTTCATACAAGTATACTTCTCCTATACATTTCTAGTGGTGCCCGCGAGAGTCTCGTTTTCGAGAGTCTCGCATGGTCTCGTCTCGTTTCCGAGACAAGACTCGAGACGAGACTCGGACAAGACGAGACGAGACTTTCATTGGTCTCGTCTCGAGTCTCGTGCAAGACTTCTCGTGTCTCGTGCGAGAGTCTCGCAGGTAAATATTTCTGCGTGCCGACTGCAGACTTGAGAATTTCATTCATAATACAACATATTTAGAAAGATTTCAGACTATTTAGCACAGATAGAAAAATATTTCATTAATAAATACTTTAAAAACACAATCCATGATTGCTGTAAAACGACGTAATGCTCGAAACGAAAACGGACTATTCTCTCTCTTACGGCGGCGGAATATAAAGGCAATGGGCGTGTACACCTTAGTAGAACTTTTAACTCAAACCATGTTTATAATGATCCTTTTATACATAAATAATGATTGACGACATAATTCGATCGAGAAATCAACTGGAATGTTTTATTTTTGGACATAAATAATTGAACCTTCTGAAAACGGACCCTCTTATGACGTAGAAACCTCATCTCGCCATAGTTAAAAGAAAATACCAAACGCCCGACGGAGACTGAGGCAACTGATATATTAATTCTTTCAACTGTGATCTGGAGCTTATTCACTCTGTCAGAATCATGTATCATTCATCTCTGTCTGGAATAGTCTTGTTTCAGTATTAGGGTTTTGACGTCACATCATTGCCTCGTTTTCAGAGGTCCGAAAAATCGGGGATTTCAATAATTTTTTATAAAACGTAGGGAGCTCACAGCAAGAAACGGTTTGCGGTGGTGAGCTAGTTTGGGTGAGTTCTATCGAATTATGAAATAAATTTTTTTGTGATATAAGCCCATTCTGCAATAACGACAGATCGCAAATAGAATGACTACCTGAAAATCTATAAATAAGTCATTCTGTGCTAATCAGTCTAAGATAAAGAATAACTTTATGTCTTAACGACTGGATGAAAAACAAAAACATTTTTGATCGTGAAGGCTGATCTGACTGATGAAGGTTTTTTTCTTAGATACCTATTTCACAAATAAGAAAAATAATGTTCTTTCGAATATATAATGCTATTTTTTTTCTTGTTTAGATGTATGATGTAAGTATGTACCTATTATGTACTTACTTTTCAATAAATAATGTTATTCTTGTTGTGATTTTCTCTTCCGACTTCTACATTATACCTCAAAAGTAGGTAAATGTGAATATCCCGTACTAGACTGGAACAAGATTATGCATGACGAAATTGCGATACATTTGCGAGACTCTCGTACGAAACGCAAGACAAGCCGAGACTCGAGACAAGACTTCATATTTCATCAGCGAGACGAGACGAGACTTTATGAAAGTCTCGTCTCGTTGGATATTCAACAGATATAATTCAATGTTCGACGTGGCAAATAGCCTGGAAAGTAGTTGTTTTTTGTTGAATATTCAGAATGAAAGGGAAAATGCAAATTCTCTACTTCAGAAGATTTTGTTTTCAAATTCTTATCGTGTGTGTTCAATAGATGTAATTCAATATTCGTCGTGGCATATAGCCAGGAAAGATGCGAATTCTCAATGCATGTCATTATATATATATATCAATTTTTTTTGTTCATAAATATATCTGAAAATGTTTTTGGATGTATGATAAATTGATATTCATCATACAGGGTGTGGAAAGAAATTCTGAATTGAGACTCTATCACGAATCTGTGATTAGAGGTCTATAAAAATCTATCGTTCAAGTTTGAACCCCTTGATTGGGTATGAATGTGTTGAGTATATTCCTTTCCAACAATATCTGAAAATATTACTTTTCAATATTCATTCTTTGATTGAAAAGGAATTGTCATGGAGGTATTTATAGGTGTTTATAGTTATATGTGTCGATATTAGTAACAGCGTTTTATCGAAAAGTAGTGTGAGTGTGATTTCCAAGCAACATAGTTTGTTTTTCATAATCGAAGGGATTGTTTATTAGGTGATAGGTACACTTGTTGCATTAGGTAAATACAATAACTGATATTATCACACGGGCGTGGTGGTGTGATTAGGCAATGAGGCAGCAAATAAATAGGCCATAGGGAGAGGCCTGCGACATAATATTGAAGTGTTCCCGGTCTAGATCACTTCCTGTTTGTTATATATTATTTTGTTGAAGAAGGGTTGAAGATTGTTACGAGTTTGATGACACGTTGATCTCATTTCGATTCTGTGGTGACTGGGTGGTTCACACTTGACGTGTTTTCAGATTTTGTCGATAAGTTCTTTTCTAGCCTGTGATATGCCTTGCGGTGAGTTTTCGATGTACCAGCCAGTATACCTGGTATGATGTTCGTGTATAGTCTTTATTGTTTCATTCTAATTATGAGGCTGCCTTCTGCCTTCAATACATGTACATTGTGATTCACTATAAATGTGCTCCCTCTAGCTCACTTATTTTTGAACCAATTTTAAAATTTGAGAAATCATTTGAAGTGATTTTTGAATTTTATTTTTCTTCCATCAGAGAATATGCATTCTTAGATTCTTTCTGAAGAGCTGATTTCATGAATAGTGATTCACACGAGACCAACGAGACGAGACGAGACTTTCATAAAGTCTCGTCTCGTCTCGCCGATGAAATATGAAGTCTTATTGTCTCGAGTCTCGTCTCGCAGCCTAGAGTCTCGTCTTGTCTCGCGTCTCGTCTAAGTCTTGCATAATCTTGTTCCAGTCTAGTACGGGATATTTACCTATATCTACTTTTTAGGTATAATGGAGAAGTAGGAAGAGAAAATTACAAGAATAACATTATTTATTGGAAAGTAACTACCTAATAGGTACATACTTACATCATACATCTAAATAAGAAAAAAAAACATAGCATTATACAGGGTGTTTCCTAACTACGGTTCCTAACTGCAGGTGGTGATTCTTTAGGTCATTTTAGGAAGAAAAGTTCCTATTAACATATGTCCGGAGTTGCTTCGTTTTTGAGATACAGGGCGTGGAAATTGAAGAAAAAAAAACGGTAGTCACAAAATATCATGAATATCCTGGAACCGATTTGGTTGAAATTTTGTACTTTTATTTGAACTAATAAGGCGCTTATTTAGCCCTATTTAGATTGAAATTATTGGGGCCAGTGGCGTCTCAGTGGGCACCATAGCCAACAATATTGTAAAAAAAGTACGCCACTGACTTTTTTTGATAAATATTTTTTTTTTTTAGATTAAGCAACTCAAAATACAACTTTTTGGTCTCCTGTATTTTCTTCATGTCCAGCTTCGTTTTCGAGAAAACAAATTAAAGCCACTGTATTGCATATCATGAACACCTGCATTGGAGAAATGAGTTTTTCATTATTTCCGTCAAAAATATAATGGACACTTGATATGCTGAAATTTTAGAAAATTTGACAAATAAAAGTACCAACTTCCAACCAAATGGGTTCCAGGATATTCATGATATTTTATAATTACCGTTTTTTGTTCTTTATTTTCAATGCCCTGTATCTCAGAAACGAAGCATCTCCGGACATATGTTCATAGGAACTTTTCTTCTTAAAATGACCTAACAAATCACCCCCTGCAGTTAGGAACCGTAGTTAGGAAACACCCTGTATATAAAAATGAAATAAAAAGTAACACGTATATTCTAAACAAATAAACAAAACAGAAACTTTAATCCAACATTATTTTTCTTATTTAAGAAATAGGTATCCAAGAAAAAAACCTTCATCAGTCAGATCAGCCTTCACGATCACAAATGTTTTTGTTTTTCACCCAGTCATTAAAACATAAAGTTATTCCTGATCTTAGACTATTTAGCACAGAATGACTTATTTATAGAAATTCAGGTAATCATTCAATTTGCGATCTGTCGTTATTGCATAATTGCCCTTATATTTCGCCGCCGTAAGAGAGAGAATAGTCCGTTTCCGTTTCACGCATTACGTCGTTCTACAACAATCATGGATTGTGTTTTTAAAGAATTTATGAATGAAATGTTGTGTCTATCTGTGCTAAATAGTCTGAATTATATCTAAATATGTTGTATTATGAATGAAATTCTCAAGTTTGCAGTAGGCACGCAGAAATATTTAAGTCTTGTCTCGAGTCTTGTCTCGAAAACGAGACGAGACCATGCGAGACTCTCGAAAACGAGACTCTCTCGGGCACCACTATTCATGAATATATCATACTTGGGGTCTAGCGGCAATGATTACAGAGATATAGGGTCATCAAAATCGAAAATTTCCAACTTTAGGAATCTTTTGTGCCTGAACTATTCACTATTGGTCAAAACGACTCACATGTCCCTATCTCAACTTTCGATTTACTATCTACTGATAGTTGATTTGGAACAATAAAGGGTGAGTCAAGATTCAATATTCTGATCACCCTGTATCTGTTCTCGGTTTTGAACACCAAAATCAAATGGGCCTTGCTATATCTTGTTCAAGAATATATAACTTGTTCTTCCTGAAGGAGAAGTTCTATTCGGAAACTAGGTATATGGTGACTGATTTCAGTGACTGAGAATACATTTTCATGACAAACACAATGCTTTAGAAATGTTTTCATGACGGGTACATATATTTCGTCAGATCGTATTGTATCAAAACCGTATTTCATCAAATCGAATTCTATCATAATAGCATTCTGTAGAAACTGTACTTCATAGAACCAATAATTCATCAAAATATAAAGGATCATAATGTATCTCATCATACAGTTAAACGAAGAAATGTACTTCATAGAGAAGTAAAACATCATACCTTATTTTTTAGAATTGGTAATCCATCATAACCGTATTCCATCGAACCAGTAAATCATCAAAATCGTATTATATCGAGACAATATCGTATAGAACCTGTTGAGCATCGGAACGGCAATTCTTCAGATCCGTATTTCATCAAAACATCAATCTATCAGAGTGAACACTTATCGAATTTGTAATTAAGCGAAACCGTAATTTGTAGAAACCGTAATTCGCCAGAACCGTATTTCATCAAATCAATAATCCATCATAACCGTATTTCGTAGAATCGGTAATTCATCAGATTCGTATTTCATAGAAACAGTAATTCATCAAACCAGTATTTTATCAAAACGTCAATTCATCATATCCGTATTTCATAGAATCAGTAATTTGTCAGCCCCGTATTTTATAGAAACGGTAATTCATCAGATCCGTATTTCATAGAATCAGTAATTCATCAAACCCGTATTTTATAGAAACGATAATTCATCAAATCCGTATTACATAGAATCTGTTATTTGTCAAACCCGTATTTTATAGAAACGGTAATTCATCAAATCCGTATTTCATAGAATCAGTAATTTGTCAAACCCGTATTTCATCAACATTAATTATTCATATTGAATAACTGGTAATTCAGCAGATCTGTATTTCGTAGAAACCGTAACTCGTCGACACCGTATTTTATCGGACGGTAAATCATCGGATCGGTAAATCATCGGATCAGGTTGGAATCGAAATGTTACAGGAAACTGCATTGCAGTGACTCGCCAAAGTAAATTTAGATAGTTGAGTAGGACACGCACAGATGTCGCAGCTCGATAGTGGAGTATAGTAAAATACTGTGGAGAATTATTGATTTTACAAGAACAGCAAGAGATGCATTCGTTCATAACTATAATTCAAATACTCGATGGTAGGGTAGGTACCTAAACGAACAATCAAATCTTGCCGATATTTCGTGAAGTTGGTGTACACAGCAATTTCTAATGATCGTTCGAGAATAATTGAATGTTGCAATTATGTTATGTTATAGAACTGGCATGGGTATTTCGACATCGTTTTCGATATAGGTATATTATTTCATTATCATTCAATATTATGATTGAACGAACCACTACTTTTCACTGTAGTGATTTATGATCGATAGGTACATCCATAAATACTTGGGAAGAAATCAGGTCAGGCCTGAATAGGTACCTATACCTAGGTGTTATATTTTGAACATTTTATTCTTACCAGGTGCACATCCATGGGAGCTAGAAGGGGTGATTTACCCCCCTCAGAAAGCAGGAAGGGTAAATCCAAGATCGCGGATCCCATATGGCGGACGAATTTTGTAATTATGATTCAAATCTATTCAAAATTTATATCTGCGGGTTCTCGGGATCAGAAATTCCTATTCTTTCGTCGAAATTTGAAAATTCAAGAAGGCGGATCCAATATGGCAAACGAGTTTTCTAATTATTATGATCCGCTTCTATTCAAAATTGGTATCTGGATTGAAAGGGTTTTTGAGGTCGGAGATTATGATTCTTTCGTCGAAATTGGTAAACTCGAGATGGCGGATCCAATATGGCGAACGAGTTTTCTAATTATTATGATCCGCTTCTATTCAAAATTGGTATCTGGATTGAGAGGGTTTTTGAGGTGTGAGATTATGATTCTTTCGTCGAAATTGGTAAATTCAAGATGGCGGATCCAATATGGCGGATGATTTATTCCATTCGGACTCGAATCTATTGAGAATTTGTACATGGGATTTTTCGGGATCGGAGATTATGATTCTTTCGACAAATTTGAGAATTTAAGATGACGGATCCAATATGGCAGACAAGTTTTCTGATAACGATCCGATTCTACTCAAAATTTGTATCTGGAGGCTTTCGTGAATGTGATTCTGTTTTGTCAAAATTGGAAAATTAGTGATGGCGGATTCATTATATAGTGGAGCAGTTTTGGAATTATATAATTCGATTCTATTCAAAATTGGTATCTATTTTTTTTGGGTCGGAGATTATGATGCTTTTATCAAAATCGAAAAATTCAATGAAGCGCATATAATATAATATATATATGGCAGACGGGATTTGTTGTATCTGGAGGTTGTTGGGGTAGGAGATCAAACTAGAAAGCACGCTTTTGTAGTAAGCCGCCGAAATAAAAAATAGAAACCCTTTTATAGATAGTCAAACTGAATAGGGGTAGAAAATAAAATAATGAAAGTGTGTTGATAAATACACAACATAAAATGTACTGATTACGGAGATGCTAATATTTTCTTTGTTATGTATTTATCAGCACACTTTTATTATTTTAACTTCTACCTCTTTCTAGTTTGACTGTCTACGAAGGCGCTGAAGGGCCACCTATACTTTTTTTTTTCGAATCCCGACTTTAAAGTCGGACCCCCGACTTCAAAGTCGGGGGTCCGAGATTAAAGTCGGGGGTCCGAGATTAAAGTCGGGGGTCCGACTTTAAAGTCGGGGGTCCGAGATTAAAGTCGGGGGTCCGAGATTAAAGTCGGGGGTCCGACTTTAAAGTCGGG